GCGTCGGTCATTTTGAGCTTGTTAAATGCAAGCCCTTGTTATATTTCTTGGTAGCCAATGCGGGGCCCAGGATGGAGCATGCTGACGGGTCCTTCATAGATCATCTCCAGTTTTGCTACGAGTACTCCTTCTCGCATTTCAAGGATCACTCTCCGAGGGTGCTGTTTTTGCGACTCAGCTGCCAGATGGTTTTAGGATTTGGAGGATACCCTTTCAGGTCCCGAAAGGAAAACCAAGCTGGGGGGGTCCCCGCATTTGACACATAAGCCGATATTTGCAGGAGGGCGTGCTTCATTCCTAGTCAACTGTTGCTCGGTTGGCAAGCCAAAAGCTACGAAAAGGACTGGGATGTGGGAGAGGTCGCTCAAGTTTTGGTACCAAGTCCAGGGGCACTTGCATACCGTGAGCATGCTCCAAGCATTTCAGAAGAGCTGATTTATGATTGTGGGTTCCAGAGCAGACGAGCCCTCACAAGCCTTGTGTTGATGCAAGGTTTCTTCTTTCCCGGTCCTGGATGCAGATGCGTCCCAGATGCGTCCCAGACATTCGCACGACGTTTCGTGCGTGCACTCGAGGCATAGTATCCTGGGAGTGGGCACAAACTTCTTCCCGATGAAAGTGGAGAAGATTCCCAAACTGCAGTCGTTCTTGACAGAAGAGGAGGGGGATAAAGAGCTGCATGCTGCTTTTCCAGCTGATCATGTGCCTGACACAGTCCTAATGTTGCCTGCTGCGATGCCCAGGAGTTTAAGCACATTGAGGCCTGTTCTCGAATTTGGCCAGTACAAGCCTCTTGTGCTGATAGCCTGACAGCAAAGCACTTGTCACAGTGGCCTTTGACTATGCCAGGCCTTTCCCAGCATCCTGCGGCTGATGTTTCATTTCGACTTCATACAAGAGTTGGAGAACACAGGCAGCTGGATTGCCGCTGTGTGGGATTGAGATTTTCTTGCAGGGGGTGTAACCCACGTCGGCGGGCACCGAAAGCCCTTTCAGGTCCCCAAAGTGCACCAAGTGAGTCTCCATGGCCTTTGGAATTGGGCCATGAGTTTTCTTGGGAGAACCCAGCAAAAGTGGGACATGAATCCGAAAAAGAAAACAACATAGATCTGTCCATTTCGGGTCCCCCAGATCGATCGCTGACTCGTGAGGTGCTGCGAAGGTCGGCGAGACCTTCAATGGCCTCAAGTTCCATCGCGTGATTGATAACAAGCGCCTCGCCCCGAATGGGGCAGACGGCTGTTGAGGGGCCACCCTTGGTCCGGAAAGGGAGCCGCGAGAAGCAAAAGAGGGAAGAAAGGTGGATTTTTGTTGGCTCGGATCTTTTTCGGCCCCGTTTTTTTTGCGGTTTTGAGGCAAGGGCTTTGATGGGTTGGGTATTTGGAACAAGAACCCTTCGAGCAATGTGGACACGGGCATGTAGAGTGCGGCCAAAGCAAAAGGGTACAGGACAGATTGTGAATCTCTCTGAGTCTCCTGAAATGGGTTTTTCTGTCAAATGTGTCAAAATGTGTCAATGGCCCACGAAAAACAATTGTTGGTTTCGCCATGTGGCCTCCCTTCAGCCAAGCTTCAAAAACCGGAAAGATGGGAGTATTTGATGCCTTCATTTAAGTCGAAGTGAAGAAAGGGTGAATCCCACGCCGCGTGTGTTGGTTGTTGAGTTCAGGAGTTTGTCAGGAGAGCCCCGAATCTGGTGTTTTTTTTGGTTTGGCTTCCCTTTGAACCCAACCAAAAATATTGAATACTTCCCAACCAAAGCCTGGCTTGAGACCCGAAAGATCGGAACCATCTTGGCTTTTCCTTTGCGTTGTCGATTGGGCATGAGAAGGGTGAGAAAAAAAAGAAAAAACAACTCCCCAAAAGCTCCTCAAAGCCGAGGAGTTTGTTTCTGGACGCAGAGAGCTTCTGGGTTCAGATGAATTACCAGCTGATGCATCTCTTGGACTTCCTGCCCATCGCGGACTGGAGCACCAGGTGGGGACTTGGTCGAAAAAGGAAACCCTCTAACCCTCTCTTCCCTTTTTTTGGGGAGGGGGGAGAAGGGGTATGACCCTCTTTCTTTCTTTCTTTCTTTCTTTCTTTCTTTCTTTCTTTCTTTCTTTCTTTTTCTTCTTTTTTTTGGGGGGGCGGGGTGGGGCACACGTATGACCCTCTCTCTTTCTTTCTTTTTGGGGGGCGGGGGGGGGGGGACGCGAAAGTGCGGTATTGTTTGTCGGTCCTCATTTGAGCCAAACATAAACACGGTACCCTTAAAGCACACACACACACACAGACACAACCACAACCGCAACCGCAACCAACATATATATATATATATATGCATGTGGTGTTGGGGTGCGAACGGCTGAAGGCGTCAATACTAAGCTTGCCTAATGTGAAGGTTTGCGTCAGAGGCACACAATCCTCTAGGGTCCTACTTGCATACCCAAATTCGACCTAGATGGCTTGGCTTTGAATTCTGTGCGGCGGATTTCACCCATTTCACAACTGCGGAGGTTAGATGACAGCTTCATGGACCTCTTCCTGGTGGTGCACAGACTGATGAAGGATGCTGGGAAGCTCACAGCGCCTGGGATTCCAAAACACGGTCCAGAGTCTGCTGCGGCAATCTTCAGCATTTAAAATCCGTGCTTGAGTGATTGCTTTGGATGTGAAGCCAAACGGTGCAAGTAAGGCAATCAAAAAGGATAGCAGGATTTGAGGGATCGACACGGTTGGATATGAGCAGCTCACAGGCTCACAGTTCTGTTAAGTCTTGGCCAGTGTTACATCCACGGGCTCCAGAGGTAGCCCTCTTTACACGAATCACAGAAGTGGACGATCGGGTGTTGGAAGACGAAAGCCATCCTCTTGCAAAAGTCTCTTGTCCACTTCCATGATTGTTGGAGGACTAGTAGTATCCAAAGGACACCAAAATGGAAAACCCACCCATTTCACCCATTCGGGGGTGGCCTTGAATAAAGAGACACCCATTTGCAGGCGGCATGGGGTTACCCCGCCTTGCCGCTTTTGAGGCCCACGTGGATTTGGACCTGGGGCCTGTGGAAAACCCCACAGGGAACAGCAGCCCTGGCACACTGGTGGGCTGCTTGGCATGGAGCAGCCTGGGACAGGTGGGCGGCGGTTTCAGCTTGGTACAGAGGGAAACCACCATCTTCAGGGTGCCCCCCTATTTCGCCACACCCATTTCAAACCAGCCAAACTGGGAGGTGGGTCCGGTCCCTTCCTGGTGAGAAACACCCATATCACCGTCAGGCCGGTGCTGGTTAGTTAGTTCCGCCCCGGCCGCAAGTTTGTCCGGATCTTTGCTTAGCTTCTTTGCATAGTTTGGTAGCGGGTAGACGCCTGACCACCAGATCCCAGATCAGATTTTGATAGTGACTCTGTTGGCATACCTCGGCAAAGTCCACAAAAGCCTTGGTCAGGTGGTCCTCCCTTGTGGCAGACAAGCAGAGGGGGCCCCGGCTGTCTGAAGCCCCCGCGCACTGAGCAAGATTTGGGGAGAACACGAAGGAGGGCCACTCCAATTTTCCACAAACCCACAATTCCACCCAGTATTCCTTTTTTTTGGGGGGGGTGCGGGGAAACGAGCCATTTTCGTGGGGCCCAGGCTTCCTGATGAACCGAGTGGTGCCATCCGGCTTCAAGCGGAAGATTCGCAGGAAGGAGATCACGCGCTTTTGCGAGCAGATAGGACCCGGATTTGTGCAACCTCGGGTGCGGGTGCTTGAGATATGCAACACCAAATCCGCAGGACATAGCCTGGAATATGAGATCCAATGGAAGGTCTCTTCCAACCTTTGATTGCCACGGCGCGTTTCCACCAGAATGCCTGGATTTTGCGGATTTCAATGGCATTTGTACAAAGCGGATTTGGATGTCGTACAACTCGTGATGCTCTCCCATGGGACCTAGCTGGGTCATGGACCATGTTCCTTCAAGAGGGATCCTGTGGGCTCGTCAGTCGGTCAGCGTGCTTCGGAAGCTTTTGGCTTGCGAATCGGCGCAGAATCGGCCAGCCTCGCCAGTTGGGCCGGGCTGCGAAGCTCAAAAAGGCTGCAGTTGGGCGGCAGGGGGCGATACCCTGTGCGCCTTGGTCGCCATTCTTGGGGGGTTCCCCAAAATACGTACCTAGGATAGTGGGCTTACAGCTGGTGATGTATCCCACATACAAGCTGGTCCAGAGTAGCCCCCTTTTCGCACCTTGCCACCGTGCGCCGATTATGGAAAGGGGACACCAAGGACGACAACCTCCCACATGGGGTTGTCTTTTTTGGTTGGTTCCAATTTGTTTGCCTGCTTAGCGCGGCGGGAACGCGGCGATTTGTGCGATTGCGATTTGCGATTTCTGCGAGCCCAAGGTGAATCGCAGCGATTTGGGCAATAGTAGTTAGTTTCAGGGGATATGTGCTAAGCTTGGTTGGATATGGTTGGGTGTCGAAGCAGAAAACGATTTTCATCAGGGTAAGGCAAAATGGATTTGGGAGCGATGTTTGCTTTGTGGTTGTGGTTTGGCTGGGTAGACAGAGAGGCGGCAGGTGCGGCAAGGCTCTAGAAACGATTTTCGTCTGGGGAAAATGGGTTTGGGAGTGTTCCGATGTCTGCAATAGTTGCAGGCCGAAGCAGCGATTCAGAGGGCGACTGGGAATCGAGGAAGATCCTTCAGACGCAAAAGCTTGTGGCTTCAGATATCAGTTTTGGCCCTTTCCCGTGCAGAGAAAGCAAGGCAATGTCAAAACCAATGCTTTCTGCGTTTCGCAATGAGAGCCCCTAAGCAGCGATTCAAAGCTAGCGATTTCGATTCCCTGCTTTTAACCCACAGCGATTTGAAAACGCAGTGATTTGCGATTGCGAGTTTGCCTCGCTAAGTTTGCGTGGCTTTGAAGAAAAACACATGGTTGAACTCCACCAATCTCTGGGTCCAAACCGAGAAGGAGAAACAAAAAGAGCCTTGCACATGTCCAAGACTAGCAACTTGAAAGTAGACTGACGACCAGGCTCGGTCCAAAGAGATGATTCGATCCTCGCCAAGTGCTCAGAAGGTGTGTGGGCTGGGAAGGGTTTTGAGGACCTAGAATGTCTTCAGTGTGAGCGCTGAGTTTTTTACGCTTGAAAAAGGCCAGAGTGATGCCTTTATATATGGCCATGGTTCAAAACCAATGGTGCCATTTTGGGATAGGTGCACCACCCATTTTAGTCGATTTTAGTGCGGATTGGGATGTTCACCGGGGGTACGGGTTTTTGACCCATGGCCGTATATGGTTTGGCGTTGGGACCTGCAAAGATTCAATTAGTAAGCTAAACAGTGACCTACACAAGGTAGGCAGCTAATATAAGCTAATTGGATCAAGGTGGGTAGGGGACAATCCCCATTTGATGAAATGCCAACAACATGTAAATGCAAGGCTCCCAAAAACTCGATATTTTTTGGAATTCCCCCATTCAAAAAAATACTCTTTTCCCCCGACAGTTGCTGAGATTTTGGGAAGTTTGGACATATTGGGAATTCTTGTTTTTTTGAATGTTGCAGTTACTGAGGGTGGTTGGGGAGAATCCCAAAATATCGGTTTGGTTCTAAAATGCATTTACTGTGGGTTGGGTGAGTCTTTCCATGAAACAAGATCGTCCCCTACTAAAATTGATTTGGCTGGAGCTTGTGCCTACTGGCCAATACCCTTGGAGGTCGGGGCCAATCGGTTGGTATTGTCAGATTGTTATGTATATGTGTTTTATATCATTCCTATTGCTAAAACTGGCACCAGATGACATCAAAGTATTGAACTCATTGCCGGTTAGTTCAGACATCGGAAAGATTGCAAGGTTGAAAAGGTTTGCTGGAACTTCTGGCAGAGTGATTGGTGGGATTGACCTGCATGACAAGCCATCAATCACCTCCCCTCATTCAATTCTTCATACGTCATGTCTTCAGCTCTCATG